TTATTAGTTTATTGCAATCTAGGTAGAATCAAGTTTTTATTATTCCACAAATGGTTTTTATCGTTTGTAGCTTTCTTTGACACTTCCTACGCCTACAACGCTTATGTTTCGCAATCCCTGCCGCAATTCCACAAGTCATTTTAGCTAATGTGGGGATGGTGGTTGTAGTAGTGGTGGTTGTGGGGGTGGTGGTTGTGGGGGTGGTGGTTGTGGTGGTGGTGGTGGTGGTGGTGGTGGTTGTGGTGGTTGTGGTGGTGGTAGTAGGGGGTGTTTTCCTGGATGAGCCCCAGCTCAGGATTTCCCTCAATTCTGCACTGTAATCTCGCGTAGTTCGAGGTTGTTGGTAGATCTGAAAGAAAGAGAATTTATGTAATGTCACATGTATTCGTCCTTTAATTATCAATTATACAAAATTAGGTAATGTCAAAGGAACTGCCAGCAGAACCTATTTTTCTGAAAGATAACACTTTATACCTGAAAAGGTAACTTCAGCTAAAGTGTATAGGTCCTGGCTGTTAATCCATGATCAGAAGAGACTTATCATTAAGGGAAAAAGAAATAGTTGTGTTGTTCTGAATTCACTAACTCCTGTCTGGCATATTTTTAGCAGTCTGAAATGTCTTTTCGATTTCTATTTAATTATACTCACAACTTTACGATATCCACAAGCCGGCAATCTGAAACAGCATCTACCAACCATTGAATATAATAATAGGAAGAAGGGGAGTCTAACGGCTAACTCCATGATTTGATTGCAACACGATTTGAACGTTCTTTTTGTCTATTTGAAATATAATGTGAAACTTTGAAACGTTTTATGCGAGATAAGCATAAATATTTTATTTGCTTGCAACTGAATATAATATTTATGATGATCTATTCAAAAACAATGTGTGCGATGTTCAAATCAGGCTAAGACGATCATCTTTCCTGTCAATGTTGAATATTTAATTTTATAACATGCACAAAGCCATTTTGTCTTTGCCGCTCAAATAGTCAGTGTAAGTTAAAGTCGATGTAAAGGCAAAAACAACCCTTTTAAAATGGAATAGTAAGTTAATAATTAACAAGGTATGGTACGTTTGACAATAACCTACTATCCTTACCAATGTTCCCCTGCACGTAACAAGTGTTAAGAAAACTCTTCTACACGATAG